TCATCACAGACGCCCACTTTAACACTTTGCAGCACAGCGCTTGCTGGTGGATCAAACAGTGAACTTGAATCGGTGGAGCGAGACCTCGCTCCTCGAACTCGCCGTTCAAGCGCCCTACTAGCCCCCTTGTCGATCCGACCATGCAAGGCGCACCATCTGTTGTAACACTGGCAAACTTCGTCCATTGCAGACCAAGCTCGTCCATTGTTTTGCAAACTTCGGCGAATATGTTTTCACCCGTTGTTGTCCCTTTTAAACTGTTCAGAGATGCTAGCTCCTCTGATACCTCGAAACGAGCGTTAACACCACGGATAAAAATCAAGAGCTGTGCCGTGTCCTTCACGTCATTACTCTCATCCATGGCTAAAGCAAAAAAAACAAAATCTTTCGCTTTCTCTCTGAGTTGGTCAAGGACGTTTTCCCCCATCTCCTCAATTCGCCTAGTCATGCTTTGTGCCGAGAGACTCACCCCTCTGAAGGTATCCGTCTTCTCGGGGCACACTTCCTCAGACACAGCCAGCATCATAGCCTTCCCGAATTCACCGTCCGTGAACGGCTTGCCGTGAATAGCCAGTAGGTTAGCTGCTTTGTAGCTTGCTCGGACAGCAGCCAGGTTGGCCCGTGATTGACGGAGCAGGGCATCCTGCTGAGCTGCTAGCCCACCTTTCAGTCGCCGAACTTTGTCATCTCTCGCTGCCCCTTTCAAGCTAGCATACTCCTTGTGACGGGTTTCGTGATGGCGGCGAAGGTTGTATTCTTTAAACACGGACACGTTTTCTTTACATATAATACAAATGGCACGGTCCTTCCATGGAACAAAAAAATAATCCCTGGTCCATTGTTCATTAAAAACCCGGCACTCTCGATCAATTTTCCTCACTTTACTGCACGCCATTGCACTGCTGTTCAACTGCTGCTATTCTCTGCGCATGACTTCCTCGATCAGTGAGGTGGCAGAAATTCGGTCATAACGATAAATCATAAAAATAATACAGACACATGCAATTATATAAATATAAATGGTTAATACAAATATTTTAGTGTTATCTAAAACCAAATATTTTTTGCAACTAGCTGCTCAGAGGTGGAGGGCCGGTCAAAGAGGCGTGGCGGGCCGTATCCGGCCCGCGGGCCTTAGTTTGGGAACCCATGGTTTATAGCTACAGTAGCGGCGACAAAAGGGGCGACAGTAGCTCAGTTGGTAGAGCATTGGCCTTAAGCCCAGAAGGTCGTGGGTTCAATTCCCACCTCGGCACCTTCTCCACCGACTCCCACTGATGACTGCTGTCGTTGTGTCCTTGGGCAAGACACTTAACCCCACTTTGCCCAAAGCTCCCACTGAAAGATCAAGGCTATGCTCACACTCAGAGAGCAGCCGTCCTCCTGTGGACTCACCACCTGCAGAGGGTCAGTGAGGGGCTGGTGCTATGAGACTTGGGTGGCATCTCTGACTGCCACCCCCCTGACCCAGAAATGGATTAAAGGGTAGAGGATGGATGGATGGATGGTTTATAGCTATTATTTTTCAACCTCATTATTCTCCTTCACGCCCGTTGTTGCTCCGAGCGTAAATTTGAACAGTTAAATAATTAATAATCCTATCACAGCACATGAATCTAAGCATTTGTAGAGTTAGGAGATAATAGGCCACCGGGGAAACTATGTCTTTTGTTGCATGGAAGAAAACTATTCTACAAAATGTTATGCTATTAATTTCATCGTACATTCTACTAAAATGTGATTTCTGTCTGGAATTTAGAATATTGTCCAAGAGTTAATTTTTTCATGAATTCATCTTTTGATGTGAAACCAATATAATATAGACCAGGGGTGTCAAACCTGTCCTCAAAGCGCCAGTGTGGCTGCAGGTTTTATTCCAACCAAGCAGGAGCCCACCAGACTCCACCCATCTAGTCAATTCTCCAGATTAAGACTGGACTCACTTGAAAAATAAAACCTACTTGACTCTTTGAGGACCGGTTTGTCAATCCTGATATAGATTAATTCAATACAAAGTGACATATGCCAAGCTTTTGTTTGTTATTATTCTGATGGTTATGACTACAGTCCATTTTCAACATACTCTATTGTTTTGATATTTTATTTGGGTTTTTTACAAGCCATCAATATCAACAGTAGCACAAACAAATACTTAAATCTCTCTTTGCATGCATTGGATTATGGGGACTTCTGAACGATATTCAAATTTTCCGAGTTTCACATATATTACAAAAAAAATTAAAAATGGACGCGCTCTTTCTCCAAACGTACAAACGCATTCAAATTGAGTGCTATAAGCTTCCCATGTTTTGTGAGTGTTTCTGATTACAGCGGACAGCTCTCTCTTTGCTTTGACACGGACAGACAACAGCCCTCTAATCCTTTAAGTTTCAGCAGTTTACGCACATGTGGTTTACCTCAAGACAGCATCCATCAGGAATGCCCTATTTGCACATCCTCACACTCTGTCCTCTGGCTATGTGCTTAAGTTTTCAGCAGGAGTCTGTCTTAAATGCAACCCTTAACTGGACCACAAAACAGCCACCAAAATGTCTGCGAGTATTTTGCAAAAACAACTGTAAATTCCTCCACTGAACATTACGTTTGATGTAAAAACTAAACTCAACTTGTTCCAGGCGTCTCATGTGTGAACCATATGATTGAAAGAACGTCCGGGACTTACGTGGCCGAATATGTACTTTATTTGTTACAGTGTAGTCTGCTGTAAATGTCAAAAGGAGAGAGGAGTTTTCTAACCTGTAACAGAATCAAAAATGTGCCTTGTGAGATTCTTGGCTTGAGTATTATTTCCATATTGATGTTATTTCAACTTCAACATTTTTCTCTTGCTGTGCAGCCTCTAGTTCAACTGTGGCTTGTCCAGACTAGACCTGGGAATCCGTTTGCAATTCGATATGAATCTTTGAATACAATGATAACAAACGTGCGATACCATGTTTATAGCACACATTTGTTTTGTAACTGAAAAAACATATTTTCAACAGTATTACGACAGTACAATACATGCTCAAAACAGAATGAACGATGAATGATCCATGACACAACCTTGTAAGTAGTCATACAGCTACATCATTTGTATAGCAATTTTGCATATTTCTATAGCTGAAAGTGTAGTCGCAGATGCGCAGGGTGAACTGAGGAAAGTAAAACTTCTGATTGTATTTAACCTACAGTATATCCTTCAGCAATTCACTCTTCACTAGATTCATCCTTTCTAATGTAGGAGATGGGTTTTTCCTAAAGACACTATCATAGTTTAGTACTTTATACCTGCAGCCATCCCTCTGTAGCCCTGGGTAATACAGCGGCCTCTCATCAGAGTACTGAATCAGCCATCGACCTGCTTGGAGAATGGATTTGACAGAGAACGGCTCAATAATGATATTGTGTCCACTAAGTCTTGTATTGACCCAGTAGCAGTAAGAGTGGGTAGCATGGTGCCTTTACTTTTGATCACGGTTATGTCTATAGAACTCCAGAATCAATTGTTTTGCAGTTTTTCTGGTGAGAGGGTCCCCCAGCAGAGAAAATAACGTATCTGATAGTATCCGAGAGACCACTGTAATAGAAAGTAAAGACTCAATGATATTCATTGAGTCACTTTTTTCTTAAAATTTATAATAACATTTTGGTAACCCCAAAGTAATAAAAACCTTAAATCATATTGTTGCTTTAGGTGCCAAAGTATTACTATTAACCCAGGACCCTTTCTATACAGCCAATATTGATTGTAGTAGTCCTTTATCTCTGAAAAGGTTTCACGGCTCAGGTGCCTAAATGGTTTTAATATGATCAATTATGATTACTGACAACTTGCTGAAAGCTCCTTCTGCTCTTTTTCGCTCCCCGGAGCTAAATAAGTCAGTGTTTTCATAGTAGGAGCAGACCTCAGCAGCTTACTGTAAATGTAATATATTTTTTCCATGATGGATGACTTACACTCAGATGAAAACACAGCCACACAGCGACCTATTTAAAGCCGGCTCACAGAACTGAGGCAGCAAATGTGTGATGGATAACTCACAAGTTTTGCCCTGTTTACAAATGTTACATGATTAACAAGGCAGCTGCAGTCGGAGGCCTACAACGACAGCACGGAGATGGCTCTTTCCGAAGACCCCTCGACAAGGATGCATTTCTCGTATCAAACCTACACACAAATGACCAACATATTGAAGCGGACCGTGGAAAGATGCCCGCACATCGCAAAAACGTACAGCATTGGCCAGAGCACAGAAGGGAGGGACCTACTTGTCATTGAGTTCTCCAATAACCCGGGCCAACACGAGCTGCGTAAGTAAAGGTTATAGAAATGTCCACATGTTTCTTTGATTACGGCACAGATAAATAGGCCAGTGCGTTTCTCTTTGTAGTGGAGCCAGAGATGAAATATGTGGGGAACATGCATGGGGATGAGGCAGTGGGGCGGCAGATGCTGATTTACTTGGCACAGTACTTGTGCTCTGAGTATCTGCAGGGGAACGAGCGCATCCAGGGCCTCGTCAACAGCACCCGCATCCACATCCTGCCTTCCATGAACCCTGATGGCTACGAGGCGGCGGTGGCGGCCCAGCAGGACAGCGGCTACACTGATGATGAGGTACGACTGCTGGCTGCATGAAAAAAGTCCAAGCACATCCGTAAAAAGAACCATGTAAAATACATGTAAAGGTGTTCAATCCAATTCACCAATTTGTTCTTGTATAGCCCTAAATGACAACAGTATCTCAGAGGACTTAGCACAATTTTGATTTCACCAACACAGATCTGAGAATCAAACAGGAATAGAAAAGAAAACAGTGTTGATTAATGTCCGTAAATGTTGTTGAATGCTGAGTGTCCTGGATCATCACCACTGTCCTTTTATCTAGACCTCATAGATTCAGCTTCCTGTTCATGGTTTTTAAGTATTTGCAATCAAAGACATTAAATCAGAATCAGAATCAGAATCAGAATCAGAATCATTTTTATTGCCAACGTAAGTAACGGGAGGTCACAGACTTGGAAATTGCTTTGGCTCAGTGCAACAGTCAAAAAGAGATAATAAAAATAAGAATAAAAAACACTTCTAAAGAATAAATTTAAATAGTCATTAGTGTACAATACAATACAAATAACACAACACGAATGACCACATTAAAACATTTTCAACACCTTCTTGGTATCACTCAATGTCTTGGCCCACCTCAACATCATCCATCCTTTATTTGTCCCACAGTGGGGACATTTCAGTGTTGCATCACAAGTTATAGAACAGTAGGAAAGAGGAGCACACGGCACATGTTAAGTGAACAATAGCTGTACTAATTAAAATTTAAAAAATCTCTAACTCTAGCATCAATAATAAGTATAACATTTGTATAAGGATATTGCAACGATGCATGACACGTGGAATCAGGTTGGCAGTGTTCATTAGTCCTCATTGTTTGTTGTACTGTCTGATAGCAGCAGGAAGGAAAGACCTTCCTGCTGCTATAGTGTTATAGTTATAGTGTTTCATCTGTGTGGACTTATCTTGAGTGGGTGGTGTGACCGTCTTTAGGTCCTCTTGTCACAGGGGCAGTGAGCAAACAAAATGGCCTTCTATTATTTCTAGCAGTATAATAAGTTTCAGTCTTTCAGTGGTGTGGGTGGTAAAAGTCTGTACGCAGTAGTATTATTCTCCATGTATCTCTCAGGGGCAGAGTGCAGCTAGAAACCTGAACATCGGTCGAACAAACGCCCAGAACATCGACCTGAACCGAAACTTTCCCGATCTGACGTCCATCGCTTACCAACGCCGCCGAAGCAAGAGATATCGCACTGACCACATCCCTATCCCAGACTTTTACTGGTTTGGTAAGGTACAGTATGACATCTTATACATGCTAGTGGGACACACATATGTAATTGCTGAGAGTTTTTAGGCTTATTTCTAACATAGTAATCATTTCAAACCTAAGGTGGCCCCTGAGACTTATGCAGTGATGAAGTGGCTGCGCTCTATCCCATTCGTCCTCTCTGCCAGCTTCCACGGAGGGGACCTGGTGGTGTCCTACCCCTACGACCTGTCCAAGCACCCACTGGAACACAGCATGCTCTGCCCCACACCGGATGATAAAGTAAATACATTTAAACATTAGAGGAAGGTTGAACAGGTATTGTTAAAGCTAGGGTACCTCCACATGCTGCGTTCATTCTGTTAGAAAACATGCTATTTTTAGGATACTTGTGAGAAAGAACTCTCTGAGTCACTATTTGGCGCTTTGCGTTGTAAGCTATTGGCTATCGCAGCCGCTGTTCTATTTTTGGTCTTTAGCAAAAATAGAAATAAAACAAACAGTTTAGCGAGAACTATTAACTGTTTTACATTGTTTTTATTTTGTGGTTTGAAATGTAGGTACCCCAGCTAAGTAAATGTGAGACTCTGTGGATCTGTAGGTGTCTTTACACTCTTTTACACCTTGGACTCGACCGAACTGGACTGAAAAGTAGTTTTAATTATGTTAAAATTACACCTGCTTTTTTACCTAAAGTTCTGAAGTAAACAGAAAAAGAGAAATAAAATTGCCAAGAAAGCGTTTAAATAACTATGAATTTGTTTCTTATTAAGATATGTGTATTAATGATATTAGATTGTTGCTTTCCTTGTATCTCAAGTAAAATACAGGTATTTTAGTACATTTCTAAAGTAGACTTCAGGGGACACTGGGGGAGTGTGTCACAGAGTGGCGGCTGAAGCTGTAAAGTGCTAAACAGTTGTTATGTCTTTTGGTAAGAAACTATGTTTGTGGTGAATGAATGAAGAAAATGTGCTTTGTAAAACGGACAGTATTATGATATTATTAATCTCATTGATGCAATTACTCCTACAAAGTACTTCATCCACTAAATCCACTCACTCATCTAAAACAATGACCTGAAACACAAACTCATTTACCCTGTCTCTATCTATAGATATTTAAGTTTATTTCTAAAATCTACGCCACGTCCCATGAACGTATGTCCAATGAAAACGCACAGTGTGGATCATCTCGAAGAGGAAGTAAATATGGAATCATAAATGGAGCGCTGTGGTCCAGTTTTGCAGGTGGTGAGTACAAACACCACCAGGGGGCAGTATACACTAAGGATTTGGATACCTTTGCTCCACTGCTGATCCTGCTTCTAAATAGATTTTCATTTGTTTAGGGATGCAGGACTTCAACTATCTTCACACCAACTGCTTTGAGGTGACAGTGTCGCTCGGCTGCGACAAATTCCCTCCTGAAGAAGAACTGTTCAACAGCTGGCACGAAAACACGGAGGCTTTACTCGCATTTATCGAGGCCGTGAGTGTCTTATTGAACTGTAGATTTGCTGTGTGTTTTTTCAGTTGAACTTTTAGTCACACTCTTGCCCCTTTTTACCTAGTTACATTAAAGTTGGGGTACCTTACTTTTATTCCCATGATATAAAGAACATATTAGACAGTCTGTTTTCAGCTTAATTGAAAACATGATATCTTTGGCATACTTGTAAGTGAAAGCCCCGAAAGTCACTGTTTGAGGGTGATTAGCAGGAGGGGTCCACTCTTTTTCACTTTTCTGGCTGAAAAAGGTGTGACAGAGGCCAAAAATATATGCATGTGAATACTTGTAATAGAGCCAAATTGGCGCGAGGAACTAGTTTTGTGGATTTGATTCCATAGTGTTTTGTGGCTTGAACCCCAAATTCAACCTACAAACTTTTTATCCTTGTCTCATATCCAAGAAAAAATATCCTAAACTATTTGTGTCAAATTGTTTTCTAATTTACACACATTTTCCACTCAACACAAACCGTAGAATTGGAATAAGATTCATTCCTATCGCCAAAAGAGTAAAGTTTTAGTATTAATACATTTCTCTCAGGTCTAGTCTCAAAATTTACACAAACTTGTAAGTGATATGTAACGAGTCGTGATTGACAGACAATGCTATCAATAACCGGCTCCTTTACTTCATCCCAGTTTATACAAAGTAAAAATAAATATATTGAACTCAATTTAAATATCTATATTTGTAAAACAACCCCAGTCCTGCTCTTTTCAACTCTTTTGTTCAGTCTAATCCAGTCTAAATTGTTTTCTGTTTTCTTTGAGGCTCATCGTGGGATCAAGGGCGTTGTCACAGACGAAGAGGGAAACGTGATCAAAGGAGCTCGCGTTTCAGTCCGAGGAATCAGACATGACATAAGCACAGGTCACTTTTAACAACTGTACTACAACCATGAACCAATACTATCAACACATATGGTTTTAATTTGTTCAATCACATACATAATATTGTAGAGTAGAACAATGAAAACATCACGATTAAAAATATCTATGGGTTTCAGACTGACGGGAAACCAAGACCATATGTGACTCTATCTTTTGAATAGAGAAACAGCATTCATAATGTTGCATAATAGAAGAAGCTGAGATCCAAATAACTATCAATCTAATAAATCTAGATAATAAACTAAATATTTTTATTTTCATCAGACAAACAAATAATCCCTGGTTGTGAAAGAGGAGGGCTGCGCTGGATCAGATAATTGTAAAATCACAAAAACATGGGCTTGACAAAACAGTTCTCATAGAGTGAAGACACTTGGTGCGTTTTTGTGATAAATAATAAACTAGAAAATAAGCTTTCAGGTGTCAATTATAATAACTCCCATTAATTGTAAAAAAAAAAAAAATAGAATAGAAAATATCATTATCAATTCCATGGAATTTGATACTATTCAGTAAAAATAAAAGATTTTGACTCCCAACTTAATGCTCAGCCCATTTGACCCAAAATAGAAAATAGTGCAGGGGCATCCTATTTTTTGATGATTGATTGTAGAAATATTTCAGTCTCAGTTTGCAATATACTATCTCTGATTATTACAGAATAGCACTATATCCCAATACTTGTATTACATGTGGATATGCATGTACATATATTATACATTTTTATTTATTGTGACTACAATGTAATAATTATGTTTTGTGTGTAGCTGGGAATATAAGTAATATAAGTAAATAATACTACCAGGAATATTATACTGTTATTTATTTTTCATAATTAAGAATATAAAAATAATATTGTCGATACAAAACATAAAAAATCTCTTAAAATCTTTTAAAGAAATACAGTATATAAAATACAGGGGGAGAAATCAATGCTATGCTAAAACATATTGTGTCTATTTTAAATGTATTATTGCATATATCACCTTTTATCATTGTTTTATCACAACACACTCCTGAGTTAAATAGCCAATTAAATTTTTTTTTTTTCCCCTATAATGTCTCAGGTGAAAATGGAGAGTACTGGCGCCTGCTTACCCCGGGCATCCACATCGTCTCAGCCCACGCTCCAGGCTTCGTTCGGGCCGTGAAGAAGGTGCATCTGCCCCCCAACATGCACACGGCCGGCCGGGTGGACTTCAGCCTCCAAAAGGCCCAGGCAGGGACCACCGCTGAGGGGGAGGAGGTCGACGACTGGCTCCCCTCCATGGGCACCTACGAGCGCTTCGACCCCTACAACCAGTACCAGCGCTACGCCTCCAGACCCACGGACTCCAGTGAGAGCCGCGAGACGAGACTGGAGAAGCCCTGGTGGTGGGAGTACTTCATGATGCCCGGTGGACCCCCCCCAACATGGCTTCTGAAACTTTAGAGTAGCGTGGGTAAAACCGGGCCATATTCACACAGCTTTATTATTATTATTATTATTACTGTTATTATTGTTACCCAAGCTCAGGCTGTTAACTGGACACAACATCTTAACTATGCATATTTACTATTTTGGATGAAATCACTTTTATATATTAATGTTTCACTTTGTACTGTTTCTAAGGTGTTTTTCACTTCTTTTTCTGACACCTTTTTACTGTTTATGAATGTTATTGTGGACTAATCTGTACCGAGGCGAGTGTGCGGGATCAAAAGTCAAAATACAAAAACGTGTTAAACCTCTCTAATGCTGCAGACAATAAGTTCATTGTGTTTCATCGCAGTGCACTGTGAATTACAATGGGTCATTAAACTCAAAACATTTCTCCCAAAAGCTTAAATCTGGACATTAGAACGTTTATCTTTGTTTAAATGTTAAGTTAATCTCTAACAGCTGTTTCAAAGAACTTTGTAACGTGAAAATATTTGCCAATTTGTAAATGAAAGTCTGCAAGAAAAAACAATGTAGTGATGTTTCAGGTTCAGCCCATCCACTTTTTACTTTTACTGCTGACTTTCAAACATATGTTTAGGTTTCAGTCATTAGAGCTCAAACTTAAAAAATAAAACTTAAAAAGACAAGATTGCAGGTTGGAAGTGGTTTGCTTCTGCTGCATTCAGGTTGTATGATATTAGTTTTCGGTGAGAATATACACACACTACAACACATTCTACAATAGTATAATAGTTTTTACTTTGTGTGTTAAGAATGACAGACAAAGAAGATAAATATTGTCTATTATTGAGCATTTACTTTTTACATTGTATATACACAACCATGTACTTGATTACCTTTACCTAAAGCTGGGGTACAGCACTTTTTTATGGTCCAAATGAATCAATCTTATTAGAAAACATGTTTTTTTTATTGCTTGATTGTGAGTGCCCTTTGAGTCACTATTAGAATCTTTGTACTGAGGGCTGATTGGCTGAATGAGGACGACCCTCTCTTTGTCTGAAAAATATGTTCTAAAGATGTGACAAAAATACATGGATGTGAAAACTCATAATACAACTGTTTTGAGAAAACTAGATTTTATTACATGGTTCAATTCTTATTGTGGATTTAAAGTTGGGTACCTCAGTTTCAAACTGGTATTTACTTCCCATTTCTAAAGTCATGTATTTGTGAGGACATTTATTTGAAGTGCTTGTAATGCACCGGTACTGCTGCTAGAGGGCAGGCAACATCAACTTCACACACAGTCCAACACCAGAGAAACGAGACACGCAAGAAGTTTAACAAAATAAAATAAGAAAAAAAAAAAAACAGCTTTATGTCACACAAGGACACACAGAAATAATTCATTTTATAATTTAAATGTGGTTATTTGAGTGTGACTGTTTAACAAAACACTAATGGTCTGGGAAAGTGAAAGAAACAGAAGATTTCTCAAAGGATTAACAAAGCACTGGTCTGTGTGCTGTAGTCTATCACAACTGTAAATAATAATATCTGTAACACTTCACGGCCCAGAGGAGAGCCATTAGAGTGAGCTGCTTACTTTCAAACAACAAAGTGTGCACCAGACAAATTACTAAGAGGAGAGAAAACAGACACTGGGTCTAGATTTACTCCAAGTAAAGAGCGAAATTATAAGGGAACAATTTGTTGTCTCGCTGTGGGGGAATTATAGCAGATTACAAAATAAATGTGGGTTCAACCTGTTGGACGTAAAGAGTCATTTTGAGAAGTCAGATTTCAAATACATGAAACAAAACAATTTATATATCCCAATATATTTTCTCCCAAGTTCGACGTACACAGTTCACAGCTTTTAAATGTTATGTGTCTTTGTTGTTTGATAATAATGACTCCAAATATCATGATTTCCTCAAAACAAGGCTTATTTTTTTGACCATGTTGTAATGGTGTTTCATCCTAATTTATCCAGAGCTGTAATTGATTTGCTTCACAATTACTAGTAATCCTATTGTCCCTCTACCCTCACCAACTGTGTGCTTACTCACAGTTATTCAAGAAACTTTAGTCTCGGTGCCAAAAATGTAAATAAAAAAAAAGTATTTCAAAAAGAATGTTTTGTAGTAAGTAACAAAAACAGCTTCAGAAGCCCCAATGAAAAGTAAAATAGTGTTCTGTGCATGCAAGAAGTTTAAGTCCAGGGACAGCAGATGATAAAAAGGCATTTTAAAGCTATAATTATTTTTATCTACAGATTTTTTTCATGAATGTACATGGTCCTTGTTAAATAGTAAGTAATAAAAACATAAAATAAAAAGTAATGTAATGATTTGAATTTGCAGATTGCAGTTCTAGTGCAGGAAATGCTTATTTTCCAGTTTTGGATTTGATTGTTAGAGACATGAAACAAATAAGGGAAATTCCTCAGACAGTTATATAATACGATAACATCAAACATAAGTTGAATACAAATGAATAAAATTTAAAAAGCTATAGTGCAACTTAGAACTTAGAGAGATCTTTATAAACTATAAAGATGTCTCCAAATTTGTTGTTCTTTTGACTAGTTATTTTTTCATGATGAGTCTAGATCATTCACATGTTAATAATGGGTTTCCAACAATAAAAACATATTATTAAATCAAGCACAAGCTAGTTTCTTCACATATCACAGAGGTAGTCACAGAGAAACATTCACAGAGAAAAATATTAATGGCAAAAATAAATGTGATCCATCCATCCATCCATCCATTTTCTTCCCCATAAATGTGATGTCTTATTGAAATGGTTTGTATGGACTGGTTGAATGGTTGGCCACATGTCTTTGGGTTGGTCTCAGAGGATCCTCTCTCTGGTCCATCAGGTGGGTGCTGCTCATTACGCCCTGTGCTGTCATGTTGGATTAACCACAGCTTTGAGGAGGAGCAGTGGTGACGCCTCTTTGGAGTTCAACGCTAAGCTCTGTGGTCTTTCCTCAACATGAGTTTGTGAACTTAACTATTTATGAATCTTACATCAGTCTGACAAGTGTAGGGAAGAGGCAAGGGAAAGATGTAAAAATGTCTAGATTCCCAAAGCTTCCTAATCCTAAAAACGGCGCAACGTCAATTTCAATCCGACCTGCTTGTTCAATACAATTACAGGGCTGTACAAGTGCAGACAACACATCTGGGCGATAACAAAGTACTTTCTTCTTTGCTACAGACCCTGAACAAACTCGGGAAGGACCTCGTGAAGCAAAGATAATTCTTGCAGTGAAGCGTGAGTGTACACAAACCCCCCCTAATGCAGACTGTAGAAAACCCCTCAGCGAGGACAAAAGCCTCCCCCAATAGGTTCAGGTGATTCCACTTTAATAGTGAGGGGATCTGTAATGACAACACGGCCGAACAAAGGCAAAACCAGCAGCTCGTTGGAGAAAGTCACTGCTTGGTTGACTACTGGTGTTTATGAACATGGGCGGTACATTTTGGGATTGAAAAGTTTCTTTGTTGCCAGTTTTATGTTGGTTTGTTTGGGGTTTTCCATCGAGCATGACGGGCAGGGGTTAACAGATGAACCCCTGTTAAGATCCAGATGAGATATTTGTTGACACTTTTCGTCTGAAGTTTGATTGTGTTCACTTAGCTTGGATTTACCCCCGGAAATGCTCTGATGCCCTTTCACATTGTGCGACCAGTGGGGTGCATCCACTCCACCCGGGTCAGAAGGGCACTAGACATGCTTGGTTGGATCTATCACAAACATGCGTAGATGTGTGTTTTTGTCTTGATTTCTGTTGCTGAAATCAATAAAATAAATAGATCTTAGAAGTCTATGATATACACATGATTGCAGACTTATAAAATGTTTTAATTTTATTTGATGATAAAAATCAAGACAGACAAACAACCGAAATAAAAGCATAACATAAAACACAAAGCAGGGATTAAACAAAAAAGACAAAACATTTTTTTCACATTCACACAATAGCTAAAAATGTCTAATAATAAGAATGTCCTTCCAATGATAAAGGCATCAAGAATTTTATCCCACCTTTTGTTGTTTTTTTTCTGTTTCAACTGAGCATTCTTCTAAATTGTGATAGTGCTCAACATAATTGATGATTGCAGAATTAAAGCAACTTTCACTCAACAATTTGGTTCAATCTCTGTTTTTATGGACCATGCATTTATTGCCCCCTGTCTATGTTTTTCAGACAGAAAAGTGAATTACAGAGGACATCCCCCTTGACTCAGCCAATCAGCTCTCAGCATCACATAGTGACTCATAAGACTCTTTCTTACAAGTGTACACCAAAGATTGTTTTACTGTGCTATGAAAAAAAAGTGTTGCAAAGATACGCACAACAAATGCAAAGTATCTGAAATATATGGTGAAAATAAATAAATTGAAATGATTTGATAGTGATTAGATTCACAAACTTTTCATACTATTTTTATGCCTGAAAGTTATTTCTATACTGCCAAAAATGCTACGTTGTAAAAAATATTGTGAGTATACGAAGCCTTATGATAAAATAGTTATATATAGTTGATATGTTCCGGCTAGAGGATGTGGACTTTTGTGACAGTGTTTGCTTCATGTGGATTGTTTTAGGAATTACAGAGAAATTAGCTCCAAACTAAGAATAGACTGTAACAACTTTAAACTACAAATATATTATTTAACACAACCTAAAGGGAAACCTGTCAGGAGCAGTGTAGCGAACACTGTGCAGCGCTCTGGGACCCACCTCCACTTGTTGATACTTGGTCAGAACTAGTGGAGTTTGAGGATTTCCTATTGTGCGTGTTTCAAGTGGTTGGGGAAACCGGAGCACCTGGAGGAAACCCACAGACGTAAGAAGAAACACGTAAACTTCATACAGAAAGGTGGCACTCTTGCTGTGAGAGCAGCTCGCCATGATGCCTCACAAATGTATTCAAATAAAAAAGATGTGAAAATAAACCACAAATCATTACAATAATTTTACTGCTGTAGATATACATAGTTCCCACAGACCAATGAATGTCACATGA